TCTTCTTTGAAGACTGCTAACTTTTGTAGATATTCAGATTTTAACTGAGCCATTTCATTCTTTAGGTGTGAGATCTCCTCATCTGCCTTTGCTAGCTCTAAGACCGCAGTCTTGTTGGCTTCTTGAAGATCACTGATCTGACTTTTAAGGCTCACTATATATCAACATGGAAAGACACACAGTAGGAATGATCCCACAGTCAAGCTTTTAAAAGCCCTATTATCATTAAGGCTGCATTTTTTGCATGTTTAGCTGGCTGTGAGCTTATTGATCTCAGTGGGGCTTGCTTCTGAGTAGATATTGGGTAATACTGCAGATTTTTTCCTACTGAAATAGAAGGAACTTCAGCATGCTTAGCTGGCAGCCCAATCCTATGTTTGCTTACTCAGAAGTAATGCCCCATCAAGTCAATGAGTATGTTAGTACATTAGTATAAGCACATACTTACAGTCTTGACTGAAGGGTGGCTAATATTTGTAGAGCAAAGAAAACATGGCCAAATTAAGGAATGAAGACTTCACTATGTATCTGATTGCTAACCATTACACTACATCACTGAGCAGGTTAAAAGAAATCCATGGATTAGGGGAAATTGCAGACCATAAGAGATGTCTTGAAATTATAAAGTGGGAACAGTCAGAGTATGAAATAGAGCAGCAATGATCTTGGTCATAAGTTCAAAGAAAATTCTTCCAGCTTGAATTAGTATGCAAAACCTGAATTTTGTTTACTTGATTTCATGGCTGAGTTTGATGACTTTCCCCCTGAAATCTCTAAATATTTCAGAGATATATTTAGAGATTATTTATCTTATGTTCAGTTCCACTGCCTCCCACAGTAAGATTTTTAAGACTGATTTTAGAAAGTGACAGAAATTCAAAGAGTTTGCCAAATTTGGAAGATTTGCCAAATTTTTATAATATGTTGCTATAGAAATCTGTCTGTCCCAGCTTCAAGAACCACAAGAAGCACTTCCTCCTGCATTAAGTTAGCTGGATGAGGCACTGCTAAGAGTTTCATCTACAGAAGATGTTCAAGATGCGCTCATGATAAGAGGACATTTTCTGTTGTGGCACTCCAAATCTGGAGGGGTACGACTGGTGCTGGCTTTTCACACCAGGACAGTATGTTTTTCTCTGCCCAAATTACAAATTGATGGTATGGATTTACCTAGTTGAAGAGCTGTCTTTATCATCTGTCAGTTTTTATTGTTATTTGGTTTTATACTTTATGATTTATTTGAATTATAGTTTGAAATTTTAAGTATACTGCCCTGGAACCCAGTGTAAAAAAATAAATAAAACACTTGTCCAAGATGGATAGGGTTTTTTTGGTAACACACTTAAATGCCCAATAGATTATGGTCCATCATCTTCCAGCATGCTAAGCCCTTGCAGAAGTCCAAACTAGGTTCATACAACATGGCAACCCACTGTGGGTAATAGCAATGGTGGATTGCTATGCCACCGAAACCATCTCCTGCAGGGAGGCTTATTTTTTGGCAACAAGCTACCCTAACAACACATGGAATTTTCTAGGTCTTGTCTAATCCACCATGGGTTGTCAAGTTATTGACACCTGCCAGTTTCAGCACAGGGTGTGGGAAATGGCTAGCGAGCCATTGGGCAAGAGTGGCAAAGACTCGGACTGTCCTTTGTGATCTCGCCCTTGCTGCTGCCAGTGGAAGCTCCTTCATGTATGCCCAAGTGGCACTTTGGAGCTGTCATCTTTGGTTTGTCACCTTTTCGGGGAGGAGTGATCTTTTTGATGCATCTATTCCCCTTTGCTTTTCAACTGATAGCAGGTAGCTGTGCACAAATCAGTGTATATGCACATTTCCCACATTTCTCATTGTCAATCAATTACCTACTTCCTTTTGAAAACTGAAACTTATAAGGCTATTGAGAAGGCAAGACTGCATAAATGGAACAGCCATTTATGCACACTTGTGTACCTGCAAAAGACGGTCAATTATAGTACTGCTACATTGCAAACATAGCTGCATAATTTTCAAGGGCAAGGAAAAAATTACTTTAGCTGGGCTTTGGAAGCTTCAACCCTCTGAAGAAAAAGCAATGGCAAACAGTGAGAAGGACAAGATGGGTTCTTCCACTGAGATACTGGTTGGAGGAGCAACACACATCATCTTTCTGGTACACCATTCATTCGTCAGTGAAAAACCAACCCAGTGTAGTTATTTGTGGGGTGGTTTAGTGAGCATGTGGATGTGACCATAAGGTGGTAATACATCTCTCCAGCATGGTATATGTACAAAGTAACAAAGAACCGAACTGGGCTTGCTGCAGCACCTTGGCTTGAATTGCCGCCACTCTAATTAGCAGTGAGGCTATTGTGCTCAACATCCATCCAGGGCCTTGGAAGAGCAGAATTTGGCGTTACAGTGTCTGCAAACCACTGTTTTACCATTCATTGAACATAACATGGTTTGATACATGTAAAAACAAATTACCGCACAGTCCAGAAATGGGGAAATTAAAAGCACTGAATGTTGAACAAGATTAATAAGGTGCAATGCCTTCATACCAATCAGTTGCTGCAGAATTACAGGAGAGCTGCATTCAAATTTCAGCAGGCTGAGAGATGAGTCCTCTTTGTTAAGAATATCGTTTCCCTAAAACAATGAATTCATTGTAGCAGTTTATTTTGTTGAGAAAAAATATAGGCTGTATTTTTCTTGGTCTCATTTTTAAAAATGCAGTCATGTTTTCCCCTTTTTCTTCTCTATAACCTTTCTTTCCCACTTGGTTTTTATGTTTTCTGTAGTATAAATACATTAAACTTCTCTTGGCATGAGTGTTTGCAGGCCTAAGAATCTCTAACAGTTCACCCACCCACTGAACTATTTTTATCCTTTGATTCTTGCCATTGCCATCTGTCTTGCGTACAACTTAGACTATTTTGGAAGGATTTCAGTTTACTTGACTTGCAGCTCCCTTCTACTAGAATTACAGAAGTGCACAGCTTAATCAATCAATTATATCAGGTTTTTGGTACAGGTTGACAGAGCTTCACAGTGAGGAAAGAAGGGATATGATAGGCAACCATAAATATTTTTGCGAATTGGTTATACAGGTCACTTCATTCTTGTAGCTATTGGATGGTTATTTAAGAGGACCTTAGCCTTTCCTTTTTGCATTTAAAAAACATTTAACAGCTTGACTGAATGAAGAATGTCAGTACTGAAGTAAAGTAGAGCTTGAAGCTGAAATCAAGACCCGTGTGCTCTGTTTACCCAAGGACATGCTTAAGTGACTCCTTAAAGCAAAGGCTTCTTGTGGTACTCAAAATGTCCCTTCAGTAGAATGGCTGCTAGCTTTCTAGTGTAGCACATGGCTACATTCCAAAAGTGGACACCCACTGGCACAGCAAGGCCCATAGAAAAGACCTCTGGTGGCAGGGCCAACTTTTGAAACTTGGTTGTTGGTTTTTTTGCATATATTCAAGCAGAAATTAAAATAAGAGCACTGAATAATGAAATCAACAAGATGCAGTGTCTGAACTACTGCAAACCAAAATGCTGTGAGGCTACAGTCCCCCACCAGCTTCCTTTTGTCAGAATGCTTCTGAGTCTTAGCGATCCATAGATGTGTCCTGCAATTTTTTGGTGCTTTTGTTCATAAAAGTATATAGAGATCCATAAGAATCAGTGCCTTGGATCAATGTGTCATGCTACCACTGGCTAATGCGAGATCTATGATTTTCATAGTAGTTAACATAAGCTTTAATACAGTGCTAGTTTGCAGGCAGGGCAGGAATGTGTATACAAATTATGTGTACAAGTTCAGCTTTTAGCTCCCTATCATTTTGTAATTGGTTGCATACACCCTGCCATTCATTTAGTGGCAGTATGAAATCCCAGATGTGCTGCTAGGCCTGAAAAACTGTGTATAAGTTATGATACTGTTACTAGAAGTATTTTTTGTTACTTCTGCCAGGAGTGACTGAGTCTTAAGCAGGGGTCTTTCCCAGTCCTGGAGCTTCAGACCCAGCCCCTTTGACATGTAAAGCATACGCATATGCCTTACTGTCTAGCATAAATACCTTATGCAACTTTTGTGTGATTATAGATATGGCCACTGATTTTTAATATATTGTCAATACAGCCTCATGCCCTGAACCAACTGTTCAGTTCTGCCAGGATGGCTATCAGCAAGTCCAGTGAGGGAGAGATCACAGAGCACCTCAATGCAGAGGACTGTTCTACAGGCCATCACTTCGTCCTTCCTTCATACACAGAAGACGTTGATCACCAGCAACAGCAAAGCAAACCAATCCAACATGTGAAACATTCTGAAGTACCGAGTCCTAAAGCTGGTATAGATTTTGTTTTGGGGATATTTTTATTATTAAATTGAAGTCTTTTCAATCTGTCATAAATAATCCAAAAGGATCTGAAATCCCTTATCTTCACCCACAATAAGCCTCTGAACAACCTCACCAATTAGTGGAATGTTGCTGACACACAACTGCTAGTGTTGCTGACACACAAATGAAATAAGTTTGATTGACTGATTGATTTGTATCCCACCTTTTTCCCAAAAATGGCTCTTGAGGAAGTTTACAGGAACAATTAAAATTGATTGAAATAATAAGGTACTACAGTAAAATGCAATAAAAACAGTATTTCTGGGATTCTCATTATTAGTAGCAAAAATAGCCGGCAGTTAATACGTCAAAGTCCTTCTTGAATAAGTCAGTATTTGTCTGCCAGTGGCAAGACAGCAGAAATGGAGTGAAGCTAGCGTCACCCGGGATGGAGTTCTGCAGACTGGGAGCAGCCACTGAACATGATCTGCACTTGGGTTGCTATCAAATATACCTCTGAAGGTAGCAGTCTGGAAAGAAAGACCCCCCAAGAAGAGTATTCTTGTATTCTTTAGTCTTCCTATCTATGTGAACCCTTTATCCCAACTGCTAGATTTATTTTTAAAACTGTACCTCACACAGTATGATGAAATACATTTAGATTTTTTCTTCTTTTAAAAATGCAATTTCTTTACCTTCCTATAAAGCTTTCCAACATCAGCAAGATTCAGACTCTGTCCCTGTAAGAAAAGTTGGCCTTCAGGCTGCATTTTCTTCCTGGACTGATTAAATTCCTGTTTGTTCTCAGTTGGAGAATTTAGCAGCAACTTTGACACCACCGGCGACTCCCCTGTCTTTCTTGACTAACCAAAAAAATAAAATAAATACAAAATTAAAAAACATAAGATTGCATTTCAAGCATTTGACTTCCCTTCTGCTGTTAAATGAAAGTACTGGATATTGTGATGCACACCATTTTCTGTTTATTAAGCAGATAGAAACGCTGGTTTTTTTAAAGTCCTTTAAGCAGAACACAGGTTTTTGTATTTGTACAATCTAAAGACTTCATTGTATATTACTATTGCCGTTACAGCATTTATATACCACATTACAGCTACTTGATGGATCTCAAAGCATATAAGTCAATAAAATACACAAAGCAAATACAAATTAACAACTCAATTTCTTTATGTAAATATTATAACTATAAAGATTCACTATTCAAGGAAGATGGGAAAGAAGCACAGTCCAGATCCTCAGGAGCTAGAGTCAAACTTACTATTGCAAGTAACATTTGTTGAAAAACATATTTTTTCATTATTTGAAATACAAAAAAGTAAAGGCTCCTTAGCACAAATTTCTGTCTTGATTGGCTTTGTTTGAGGGGTTGTTTCCTTACACTCCTTAAAAATTCTGTTGCTTTCTATTATAAATGCAGGATTAGCACCCTGGTAATGTTTAGTCTTAACGGCTTGGGTCCTGGTTACCTGAAGGAGTGCTTATGTCCATATATGCCTGCCCGTCCCTTGAGATCAGCGGGAGAGGCCCTTCTCCGGGAACCCTCCGTGAAGGATATTAGGAGGGTTAGTACTCAGAGGAGGGCTTTCTCTGTGGTGGCACCCAACCTATGGAATGCGCTCCCCAGAGAGGTCCGCCTGGCGCCGTTGTTATTTTTCGGCACCAGGCGAAGACCTTTTTATTCAAACACTATTTTAACTGCTAATATTATTTATTTATTTTATTTTTCGGGCCAGGTCGACTCATATTGTTTCATACTGTTCGTATTTATTTATTATTGTGAGCCACCCCGAGGCTTCGGTGAATGGGACGGCATAGAAGCCTACTAAATAAATAAACAGTCATTAAAATTGTGAAATTTAACTTGATGGTGCTCCAAAATTTCCTGACCTGGCTCTTCTTCATTTTCTGAAGTGAAACAGAATAATGAAGAATGGTCTAATACATGATGTGTGTTGTTTTAATGTTACCCAAGAAGAGACAGATATGCGGCTGCTGATTTTAGTCGCAACCCTTCATCACCTTTTGCATGCAATTCAATCGTAAACTTGATAGTACTTGAATGTTGATACAGCAGCCTTTGGAGCAGGGTGAAAGAGCTGTAACTGCAAATTTACTGTACACAGAATCATAGCCTTCCTCTGGCAAATCTTTTTTTGTCCACTTTAATGCTGGGGTTCCAGTTTCAGAAAAGCACTGACTATAGACCTTTGCTTAGCTGCAGGCAGGAAGGTCAGCTCTCCTAGGGTAGACTCCTCTGAGAGAGAGGGTGGGGGGGGAGAGAGAGAGAGGGAGAGAGATCTAAAAAAAAAAAAAATCCTATAGCCTCTGGAACACATTCCTAGAGACCCTAAGATTATACCCTAATTTACTCTCTAGTGATAGCAGCTTCAAGCAGACATGAGGGTCATTTCTCATGATCACCATGGGTTAAACAAGCCACACTGTTAGTTTAAGTTGCAGTATATGCTGGGCTCCATTTGCCTTATTCTGCATTTGGGTGTAGATTGTCATGTCATCAGAACTTGGATGGCATGATTTATATGACTCGTGGCTCTTCAAACAAACCATGCAGCCTGGGTTTGAATTACATGACAAGCTATGCCCATGTAGGTAGACAAATGACACCTGGCACTTGATGGCTAAACAACCTGCAGCTTATTCAACCTGTGATGGTGTGAAGCAAATCAAGGTCAATCTGCCTGTATAAAGCTGGAGAGCACTATATCCTTATGCTTAGATTATAAATTTACAAATACATTCATAGGGTGCTTCCAGAGGATATATTTTTAGTGCAATCATGTTGTCTCATTCATGGAATTCAGAAAAAATTGTCATCTATTTGTAAGCACCCCACTGCAATATGTTCCACCACATCTTCCCTCTTTTTATTCCCAGAAAGTTAACCAAAGAGGGAAACAGGCACTAACTTGTAATTGTAAAACTCCTCCATCTTGAAGCACTCTTATAGCACAATCTTATGCTGTCTGCCCTTGATGTTGTAAGCTTCTAAACATGGAGGTTTATGTGTGCACCTAATGGGAAGGTGGAGCAGTGTCAGTCATCTTTGCCCACTGTACTTGGAACTCTCTATTTGTACAGAGCACTGGTTTGGGCAATCTAGATGAAGCATGGTAGAAGGGGATGGAAAGAAAGGAACCCAGATGCTGTTTTGATGTAATGCAATCTACTGCTCCCAGTCGTTTCCCTTTCCTGCCCCACCAGCATGCTCCCTCAGCCCTCTCTGCAATCAGTTTCCAGCTTCAGAGACACAGCAGGCACAGTCAGGGTATCTTGGAGCTGGAACTCTGAATAATGTAATGCCCCCCAGACAATGTTGGGAAGCGATAGAATTATGCCCTTAGTCTCAACTTCACTTCTGTATAATCATGTTTATATTAATAAATCATGATGGAAGTTTAAGGCTTATATTCAACAAAGCACAGCAAATGGTAATAAAGATGTACTTCTAACATATAGAACTTACATTCTTCCTCCACCTTTTTATTGAATATATTTTAAAATGTTATTTTAATTTTTTGTTGTAAGCCGCCCCGAGGCTTCGGCGAATGGGGCGGCATAAAAATGTTTTAATAAAATAAATAATAATAATAATAATAATAATAATAATAATAATTGCTGATGTTTGTATGTGCTAACCATTTGAAGCTACAGAGACCCAAACAGTCATAGGGATTAATGGAAGCTCAAAGATGATACAGAAATGCAGCCTAACAATATCACTGGGAATAGTCAGATAAAGCCTTTCAGTGCAATCAAAATGAAAAAGGTAAAAGCCATCTCTGAAAATATTTAACAGCTATGACATTGTGACAAAAGTCCTTGAAGCCTGAATCTGAGAAAGAAATCAAAATGGCTTATTTTAGAAAGAAAACGAGGCAGTTATAATCTGGATTTGGCAGATTTAGGTTCTGTTTGCTGTACAACTTCATGTAAGCAAAATCATGCATTTTATAATTTTGACACTGAAATGTATTACAGAAATGATTATTAAATAAGCTTCTAGCATAACACTGTTGTTTTTGATTAGCAAGTGATCATTGCTCTATTCAGATTTTATTAAAAGAAAAACTGATTTAACAGCACTTTCTATTTTACCTCTGCTATTTTATTCAGTTGGCCAGTATTCATTCTTCCAGATTCAGCATCCCCAGCAATCCTTCTGTAATGGCAGTACCCTCTGTTTACATCCAGAACATGCTTTTGTGTTGGGAATCAAAGCACCACCAAGCCAGAAGGCAGGGCTTTGTCAAAATGCATCGCTTGAGCAGCAGCTGCTGAAGTCTGGTTTAACGTGCAAAAGGCAAGGAAGACAAGAGGGCCTCTTCTGAGCAAAATGGAGCCCCAAGCCATATGGAACATTTTAGTGCACAAATATACCATCCAGACTTTTAAAGAAGATATTTCTTCTCATGTCTGCCTACCATGCATTTGGTTAACAACGTTAGCTAACACTATTTCCCCCATTTTAAGCAATGGGTTGCAGATTTTATTGGATTTCTTTTTTCAGGATTTAGAGAATATTTGAACAGGTATCTGGAAGAGGAGGTCATGTATATAAAAACTTCATATCTGACTGTCTGCCATGCACATGTGCTGGGTCCTGCCCCCTCCCCCCGTCTGTCTGTCTGTCTGTCTGTGTGAGAGAGAGCAAGAGAGAGATCAAGCAGCAGAATACAGAACCAGCATGATCAGCTTTGCATCTTATGCTCAGGTAGGCCAAAGGGGAAACTTCAACTATTTTTCTCCCGAGATGGATTTTGTAACTGATTTACATTAGCAAAAAGACAAAGAATTACCAAGCATGCACATGCCACAATGCACTGATAATAAGCTGTTGCTGGAAGTAGGTTTCTGCTTCCCCATCTCCAACAACTGCAAAGACAAATTTCTACCACAAGTGTGATTTTTCTCCACTCAAAGTGCACTGGGGTTGGACTGTGATGCTCTGGTAAGCAGGGCTACGAAAGACAAGTTGCTTATGCATAACCAGAATTGTCTGAGTGGCCATTTGTGTATTCATACACCTGAGCTGTGCAGATGCATGGAACTATTCAGGAAACATCTGTAGCAGAGGAATTTCAGAAGGAACCCCTTGTCCACTGTACTGTCCATAGCCTTAGCAGGGTCTCGTCTGTTCCCGCAGTTCCAGAAGACCAGCATTATGATCTTGGAACTGAGAGGAAAGAAACTTCCCTGTTTTACAGGAAAGCAACACTAGAGAGTGAACTAGGCATCAGCACTGGTACAGATAGCACTGAAGCAAGGTATGTGAGTGCACAGATAAGCACTCGAAGATCTACAGTTACAAGGTATGCAACCTGTCATTCTTCTTCATGGTCTCAGCATATCACACACGTGTGAGTAGGAAGCTGACTTACTGGTGGTCAGTGATACCATTGCAACAATGAAGAAAGGACAGTTCAGCCAGATGAAGAGTCTGTGTAGGTCTGAACATCCAGTCTGTAGTGCTTGAGAAAAGCTGAAAGAGCATTCCTTAGCAAAATTCCACTGCTGTTGCCCTCCAGTGAGTTCTATTCCAGCCAGTTTATATGCCAAGGAAAAAGCACGATCCACCCAGGATGCAAAATGTTGCAGTAAGACTAGCAAGCCTTTGCATTTCCCTTCATAACAAAATGAAATTGGCAAAATAGCTTGGTACAACTTTGAAGGAAGTTAGAACACTTCTCCCATGAAGGAAAGGTAAGGCCTCTGAGTCCTGTGACAGAGATGAAGGGGGAGAAATATAGGAAAGGCAATAAGAGCTGGTGTGGCGGTTAAGAGTGTTGGACTGGGACTCAGCCATGTAGTTGAATGACTTCGG